ATTCGTCACTTCCGGGCAAGGCTGCAACTGTCAGACCCAAAACACGAGCAGGGTGATCTTCTCCTTAACTCTTGGGCTAACTTGATGCAGGCTGCCAACTTAACACTTGCATTAGCACACAACCCACAGCTCTTCTATGAAGCAACACTTGAAAACTCCAAAGCTTCGATTCGGATGAAAGGTCCAAAACAGGAACGGTAACAAAGGAGAAAGGTAACTCAGGGAAACGAAGGCTCATAAGAAGGGGTTCTGTCCAAGGAAAAGATCAAGGTGAAAGGTTTAGGTTCAACAACTCGATGACCATGTCAGTTAAGAAGAGGGGAATTGTAAACAAGGCTACAACTTAGGGGGTAAGGAATCAAAACGAGGTTTTAGGGAGTTGAAAAGGATTTCCCCACGGAGGGTATCCGGTTAAAATTCAAGGATGATGCTAATTAGGAAGGGAATCAAGGTTTCCAAAGTCACAACTTAGGAAAGATAAGGTTGTAACTTTGAACAGAGTCAAATCGGAAAGGGAACAAGAACGAGGTTTGAAAAGATAGGAAGGATTTCTCGAGTAGAGGCAAGGGATTTGACGAGGGTAAGAGAAGAAGATCAGCTTCAAGAGACAAAAGGGTTCACGACTTCCGGCGAAGCTCCGGCTTGACACCGATCACTACGCTTGTCGAACTGAAGGCTCTCTACCTCGACTCAGATGCGACTTAACTCTTAGTCCTTGTCAGATTCCTTCATAAGCTGATGTCACCGCCGTCTTGCACAAGATGATTTGGAAAGAAAACAAGAACAAGGTTCGGAAGGAAAGGATCACTTGGCAAAAAGGGTGATTGAGTTTGTCTATGGGAAAGAAAAGATTAAAGAGGACCAAGGGTAACTCTCGAACAAGCTAACGCCTGAAACTACACACAAGGAAGGGCACAAAGATGAAAGAGGGTGCAACAAAAGGTACAAGAGCTTACTTCAACGGTTCCCACTTGAATCTGCCTCACGACTGTGGATCTTGCCTTGCTGAGGTCCCGACTTCGTACACAGGTCCTGGTTGCTATTTCCATTGAGTCCATTGTTGTTTCCACTTCGATGCTTACTTCCCGACCAGGGCCTCACACTATCAACTGGTTTTGAGTCCGCTGAAGTCTTCTTCTTCATCCTGCACTCAAAGGACCGGTGACCCCTCTTGCCACAAGCATAGCACTCTACCGGTTTCCCATGACAGTCCACGCCGGGGTGGTCACTTCCACACTTCTTGCAAACGGAGCGCCTTCCCTTAGCCTTGTTGTTCCAGATAGGTTTGGGAGCCTTACCTCTCTTAGAGTCGTCTCTTTGAAAACTTCATGTTGATTCAGCACTAGCAACCATCAAACTCCTAACCACAGGTGTAACACTTCCATCAAGCTTACTCTTACGGTTCTCCCGGATTCCTTTCTGAACATGCTGTACTCGGTAGGGGTCGGTTGCACAAAGGTAGGCCTCCTTGACATGCGCAGGATAGAACCGCTCACGTACCTTAACCTTCAGGTTCTCCCAACTGAACTCCGGATCTTGTCTACAAGCTGGCCTTTCAAGCATCCACCACGAGTCCGCTTCTTGCCGAAGGTAGAGCGTAGCCAACTCCACATGGCAATCCTCCGGGCAAACCACAGCTTCGAAGATCTTGTCAAACATCCGGATCCATTCATCCAGTGCTGTGGGATCTTCTTCACCAGCGAAGATCAGCGGACGGAGACTTGAGACTTGGCATACTATGTCCCGATACGCATTCTGGAGAGGGTGGTTGTTGTTGAGGAGGGCGTTGCTCAGCGTCTGGGCGATCTGTGTTAGTTTATGAAGGCTTTGAGCTAACTGTTCGTTGGAGGTTGCTTCTGAAGACCTTGACTTCTACAGCAACAGCACGATAACGGGAAAGACTTAGGGCCCGCACCCTTACCTGGTGCCTTAACTAAAGAGAACCAAAGCTAAAGAAAAACAAGCATAGAAAATGACAAAAGAACTCACAACCTCACCGCGCGACCTAAAACTCTTAAGTCCTAAACACTTAGATACTTAAGGTTGCCTTAGGGTCTCAAATCACACTTAACTTCTTAAAAGTCTAGACTCTAGCATCGTAGGCTCAAACCTAGGTTCAACTGTAACACCCCTGATTTTCATGCCATTTTAAACTTAAATAAGCAAGATAATCTAACCACAATATAAGCAAAACACAGCGGAAGTCTAACTATATAAAACTGGAAAATGAAGAGTGTTATGCCACGTCCACACTAAGGTCAACGCACAGGCAAGAACATCATCACATCACAGTCTAGAAGTCTAACAAGAGACAAGGTTAACCAATCAATAGTCTATTGTTCATAACAAGAGGCACACAGGCCCATAACAAAACTAAACAGAGTCTGAGGGAAACTACACTAGCCATCTCTATATCGCACTCGCCACTACTCAGGACCTGAAAAACACATAAATAAATGAGACGACGCCCGGTCAGCGAATGATGCTGGTAACCCACCAATACAAGTTAATTATCATAAATAGATAGTATATGCAAAATCATTTTCGAAACAGAATACTGTATATATATAAGTTCAAAACCAAAGATAGAAGTCAACCACAGGACTCTATATCACTCACAACAAGATTAAGGGGAACACATCCCAAGACACGTCAAGATGTAACAACGACAACACAAGTAAGGCTCAAGGCATATTCTACCATCACTCAGTAGAATATCACCCGACATGCTCAACAAGAGAATAAAGAGACACTCATCGGCAACACATGCCTTCGTGACAACACATGTCACAAATAGAGAAGTACACATCGGCAACACATGCCTTCGTGACAACACATGTCACAATCAATATTCCTTCCTTATGCCTAGTTCCAACCTTATGGCTACCCCCAACCTTATAGCTAGTTCCAACCATTACTTCCAGGACCCCTGTATAACCAAGTCCAACCTTATCCCTCCGAGGACCGTCGTCCCCATCCGCCGACAACCGCCAACACTTCCACCAATTCATAGTACACGAGGGTACCGATCACAACACACGACTAAAGCCCTCCCAAAACACGTGAACCCGAAACACAGGTCACAAAGTCCATAATCACGTCATGGCCACCACGAGGACCACTGTCGTACCTTGTTGACTAATGTCCCATACCATTAATCGTGCAATCCAGGTACAGCCACACACACAACGCCATCATAGGAATCAATCAACGGATCACAACAAAGATATGAAACCATACTCAACAAGGAAAGGATCACCATCCGACAACAACGATGATCACACAAGTCATCATCCACCAAAAAGGAAATGACAAACCAAACACGCTAGCATTTAAACACCGAACTAGCATGCTTATCAAACGGGTAAACAAAACATAGTTCCGAAGAACACACAAGACTCATCATTGGTTCAACGAATCACAAGGTTGAACACTTAGCATGATTCAAGACACCAAAACCTACATGGAATCCTACCATATAGTTCTAGACATACGAAACATCAAGAAGACACTCAAATAGTTCCACAAAAGAACATCGGGAAGTCAAAACATCGAATACCGTGTCAAAAGAATCTCGGGGAACAAATCTCCTCACAACACCATCTTATATCCCGCGGGTGGGACCACGGGTGGACCCCCACTCGTGGTTCCGCCCGCGGGAACACACTCCCAAACGCCTTGTACCCCGCGGGTGGGGCGGCGGGTGGACCCCTATCCGCCGTTCCGCCCGCGGGTACCATACCCTGTACAAAAATATCCCTTCGGGGATTTTCAACACCAAGCTCAAATTCAAGTCCATAACATGCAAAATCTCACCAAATACAACAATATGACTTGAATCAAAGGAATAGCCAAGCAATGGCATACAAGAACCCTAAACACAAGCTCTACATATGCATTCTCACAAGACAATGCATCAAAACCCACATTTCATAGCAAAATCACAAGTAGAATCCAATAAATCATCATATAGGTAAGTAAAATAGATTTTGTAAAGCATGGGTTACCTCTTGAAGACTAAACCTTCACTTATAACACCTCTCAAAGCTCCTAACAAGGTTCACCTCCAACACCCACTTCAAGAACACACCAAAAGACCATAAAGATTTCATCTTTAGAAAAAGATACCTTAAAAAGCACTAAAAACACAAAAGAAACATAGATCTTACCCTCCTAGATGCTCAAGAGTAGGAAATGTGGAATCTTGGAAGATCTTGGAATGCCCAAACTTAGCTTGGAGTAAAAGCTAGCTAAATTCTAGAGAGAAGGTGGAGCGTTTGTTTTGAGAGTGTTAGGGAAAGAATGAAAGGCAACTCTAGGTTAGCTTGGAATACAATCATGAGGTGAAATGTCTTCATTACCCTTACTAAGATGGAAAAGTGTAAGGGAACAAGGGAACTATTCGCAAAGCTTAGAGTACAACTCATTGACTTGAGTTGACTAGTCAATTACTAGTCCCCAACTATTGAATTTTCAGGAATTCAAAGAATAAATTACCAATTAGATTAGGATTAATTACTTAATTAATCCCTAAATAGAATTTGGATTTACAGGGTGTCACATCAAATTTGTGAAACAGTCTGCGATTCAAATTTTCTGTAGCATTGCTAGGGAGGTTGTTTCTATGTCTGACTGTAAAGAATGTTGTATCATTACATCGATCATGTTTGTAATCGTTTCAGCTTATGATTAAATGAATTAGTATCTTTATTTCAAAAAAAAAAAAAAGTATTGCGTATTCTAAGAAAGTACATTATTTGAATACTAAAAATATATTATTTTATATAATGTACATTCCGTACATAAATATATAAAAATGTACTCACATCTTCATAAATATTTGGTCCTTATTTATGAAGATATATTTCCGGCAAGCGAAAATAAACATAAGATCCTTTATTACCAAACATGTATACGACGCTACTCACGCTAGTGTATATATATATATATATATATATATATATATATATATATATATATATATATATTACACATACATATAGTGGCTAACAAGCATACCTAGAGAGTCGAATTTCAGGTTATTACACAAAAAGAAAAAAGCATCCTGAAACATTAAAATGACTAAAGCATTCAAGAAAGCCCAGACGATCTAGCTTAGTTAGCAACCCAGACAATATGATCCTCTGGAAGGAAATGGCAGACGGGCACAGTTCCGGGCTTAACCTTAAGCACTTGGAAGGCCAAATGCTTAGGATTCCAAGCCGAAGTATCTTTGTGGCAAACCACCGCGGCTTTAACCTTAGCCCCATTCGCTCCGACCAGAGAAACCGTGTAAGCCTCGGTGGTCTGTGTCTTGTGGCAGTAGAAAACAGCGTATGCATAGTTTTGCTTGTGGCAGACAACAGCTTTGTCATTGTTTTGAATCTTTTCGACCCCGGAAATGGTGTACTTTTGCAAGGATGTTTGGCCACTGGCCGCGGTGGATATTGCCCGGACTTTCTTCCCCAGCTTGGATTTGGAGAAATCGACCATGGATTCCAATGAAGTGGCGCATTTTTTCTCTTCTCCTTTGATCACTGGCTCTTCGCATTCTGTGATGGTTTGTTTCATCACTTGGGCTTCTTCTGAGTCGGGGGCTAGGGAGAATTGGTTGAGAATCTGGGACATCTTCTGGGATGAAAACGGGATTTTTTCAGCTTCGGAGCGGGGCAAGAAAGTGGCGTCGTTTGCGGTTTTGATGAAGTGTAAGGTCATGGTGGTGCCTTTGTGCAAGGCGGTGGGCTTGAAGAAAAGGGCGACGTTAGGGTCGTCGTGGAGTTGATCTTCCCTGGCGGCGTATCGGTACAGGAAAGGTACTGATCCTGGCTTGACATTGACGACGACTGGTTTGCCGTGTTTGCCGGGGGCTCCCACGTAGACGCCGCCTTTCCCGACACCGACGTTGGTCCGGTGGCCGGGCGCTCCAGCGTGAACGCCAACTCCGCCGTGGCCAACATTCACCCTCGTGCCGCCGCCAGGCTTCCCCTTGCCGGTGTTTACGTTCACTCCTCCCTTCCCAACACCTACAGAAGTTCCTTTCTCTTCAACCCACCCTAAAAAAAAACCATCATTTTTAGGATCAAACATTATTTCCCTGTACCACTTGTTAGGACTTAGGATAAGCACTTATCACTGAGTCAAAAGTTAAAGTTAATAGTGAAAATTTAACTTTATTTTTTTTTATAGATGGTTATCACGTTTTCAAGAGGTAGGATGTTGTACTTAGTCCTTCATTGGCCAAAGTTTAACAATTTCCTAGCCACATGATATTGAACATGACCCTTACTAGTCTCCGTTCAACAATTACGTTCTATACCACTTGTTAGAATCAAACGCTTATCACTACATCAAAAGCTATAGCCTATAGCTAGTAATGTAGAAGCAATTTTATTTCTTTATAAACCACTATTACATTTTCAAATAGTAGAATGCTAAATTTGACCTTTTAGTGGCCTCTATTCAACAATCCTAAACCACATGGTATTAGACCTAGTCTCTACTAGCCTCCACCTAATTAACCATCACTTTTAACTTTCGATTCGATTTTGGCAGGCTAAGTAACAAAAACAATTTTGATTAAATTCATATATATATATATATATATATATATATATATTTTCAAACCTGCTGTTTGGGATAAGGAATCCTTGATAGCTTGGGGCATGGCAGTATTAGACAGCTCAGACTTCCAGTATGAGATTGCATCAGCAGCACCCAAAGTAACTGCATGACTTGCTACGACGGCCAGCTGATCGAAAGTACCAATAAATATTAAACAAGCGTTTTAGCGTTATAATCATTAACAAATCAATAGAAATTTTCCTATTAGAAAGATGTAATATTAAGTTAATACAATCACAATACTCTAAAGAAAAAAAATCATTAACAATAAAAATTTCCCGAATAAAAAAAAAATAGCTATTAGTAAGGACAAAATCATATTGTAAAAATCTTGTAATAACTTAGCGTAGCATAGCACAAATAGTTTATATAAAAAGTCTTATGCTTTATCTTATTTTTCTTCGATGCACGGCTCTGTTTGGCATGTTTAACTGAAAAGTTAACTTTTTTTTAGTAATTAATTAAAATTAAATTATTTAATAAATTAATTGTAGAATTAGCTGATGAATGTAAAAAGATATAAACTAAAAAAATTTAAATTTTGATTAAATACGGGTAAATAGTGTCATTTTTGTAAATTAATAAAAATTAACAAAATAAAAAGTTAAAAAAACGAGTAAATATTTACCAAACAGAATTTGTAATTTATTTATAAGTTAAAATAAGCTATAAGTTCTAAAAATAAGATCTACCAAACAAAGCCCGATATATCCGAAACAAAGGACGAAAACATGATTCATATAAAAATACTGTATGAATTGAACCTATCCGACATATCTAAGCAAGAATTAATTAAACAAAAGTGTACTAGGATGGAGATATACTTACAGAAAGAAATGTGAGGAGTTTAATGATGAGTTGGGACTCCATTATATTGTAAGAAGAGACAATGAAGAAGCTAAGAAAGCAAATGAAAGGGTTTTAGCTGAGATTGGTTGGAGTAGTGAACGGATGGGAAGGAGCGTTATTTATAAGTGAAAAACGTAGGAAGAGTGAGTGCTTGAGGAAAGCAACATATCACCCATACACATTATATTGGACTAATTTAATTCCCAGTCATCTGTCTATGGCTTGCAGCATTCAATGCTATCATGCACGTGTAGGCCACACATTACATGTTGATGATGGAAAGAAGAGAAAATACTAGAACACGTTTGGGGCGGCACAATGCTATCACACTGTGCTCCTGTAAGAAATCTAGAAGACTAGAGCAAGATTTAATTGATTAAATTTCGTGTGTGTGTGTGAGAGACAGTCAATATTTATTATCTAGACTAGTTTTTTTTTACGTGCATTGTGCGATTGGGATAATGTCGAATATTTTTTTTCTAAATAAGTACTATAAAATATATTAATGCAAGATTATATTGGAATTGTTCATGCATAGATAATTGAATGTTGAATTTGCGTATTTAAATAGGTAATTCTAAGTTTACAAATGCAAGATAATATAGTTAAGATTGATTATAATTGTCAATAAAATAATTGTATAGGTATGGTTGAAACCAAATACGGGACATAAAGGAGATCAAATAAAATTAGGACATAACATATTAAATATATACTAATATTGAAGAGTTAACTGCTGATTGTGAAACAAAGACATTGCAAGATAGTTTCCCACTTCAATTTGTTGTGTGATTTGAATACTCTAGCTTTTTGTCAATAAATCCCCAAGTAGTTAATATGATTGACTTAATTATATTTTTTTAATATTTTTTTTATATTTTATTTATTTTTTTATAAGAATTACTATTACTATTACTATTAATATTACTATTACCGTTACCGTTATCATTACCGTGTCCATGACCGTTACCATGACCATTACCATTACCATTACCATTACTATTACTATATGTATACCCTTAGGTCATTTTACATGTTAATCTAAATGGCTAATTTTTTCAAATATCTTTTTAGTAACTGTTGATATAATTCGCTGGTCAAATCCGCTACCACTAACCGCTAACTGCTGATTATAAAACAAGGACATTGCGAGGTAGTTCTCACTTCAATTTGTTGTGTGATTTGAATACCCTCTTTGTTAACAAAACCTCATCTACTATACTAATAAGAGCCCAAGAGAGTTAGGCCTATAATGGGTAGAAAAAATGGCGGTCAAGTTTTTTTAATCAAATGAATGGCTCAGATTGATCAGATTTTAATTTTTCATTAAGATTTCCTAATTTATCCTTAATGAATATGATTATCCGTTAACTTTTCCGTTAAATATTATTTTTTCCGTTAATTTTTGTTAGTTCATCGTTAACTTACTCATTGATTTCAATAAGAAAGATCTTAGGTTCGAACCACATCCCAATCAAAGTTGGCATAATTAGTACTCTATTTTACTTTTATTAAATTAAATAATAATTTAGTAGCTACAACAAAAAATAATACATATGCATTTCTTTAATTTAGAATTATAAATTAAAGAAATGCATATGTATTATTTTTTGTTGTAGATACTAAATTATTAATTAATTTAATAAGAGTAAAATAGAGTACTAATTATGTCAACTTTAATTTGATTGTGATGTGGTTCGAACCTGAGACCTTTCTTATTAAAATCAATGAGTAAATTAGCGGTGAACTAACAGAAATTAACAGAAAAAATAATATTTAACATAAAAGTTAACGGATAATCATATTCATTAAGGATAAATTAGGAAATCTCAAGAAAAAATTAAAATCTGATCAATCTGAACCATTCATTTGATTAAAAAAATTGACGACCATTTTTTCTACCCATTATAGGCCTAACTCTCTTGGGCTCTTATTAGTATAGTAGATATTTTTTTTTAATTTTTAATTTTTTTCATGTTATTAATAAAATATGGGAATCGGAATCGGAATCGGAATCGGAATCGGAATTGGAATCAGAATGAGAATTAAATACTTTATAAGTGAATAGGTTTTGGTGAAAATATTTGATATGTTTGATAGTATGGTGAAATTGAATTGATTACGAATATTAATGTTTGGTTATGTGTGACTTGATAATCAGAATAAATGCTTCAAAAATACAAAAAAATAAAAAAAAAATAAAAATCAATACAATTGGCCTTAAGAGTGGTGATGAAGTGAGTAGGAAATGCAGTGATGAAGTCGATAAAGTGATGAGACGATGTAATGACTAAATGAGGAGGTGATAAAATAAGGGATAATGCTAAATTTATGGAATGATACCTGATTTAAATTAGGTGATGAGTTTTGTAATTATAGGGTTAATCAAGTCCTATAATTTGTGTTCTAAAAAGTTGTCAACCAAACAATGTTTATGACTTTCATTCTATTGGTGGTATCTAAATCAATGAACCAAACACCTCCTAATTTTTTTTAGATTGCCAAATTTTTTAAATGAATATTGATTTCGCTTATAATTTACTTGTTGAAACATGGCAAATTATATCGTGCATCGCGGTGGATAATGGATTATGCACTGAGCTTTTAAATGACGTCGTTTTGTTTAATGAAAAGAAACGGCACCTATTTCGCGCCGTTTTGCAAAAAAGTAACTCTGTTATTTAGTTTCATTTCAATACAACTACAATTTCATTTCGATATAACTACAGTTTCATTCGATATTTATACGCTCAAATATGTGAAAATGTTATTTAATTTTATTTTATATACACTATAGTTTCATTAAAACACAACTAAATTATTATTTCGATATAACTACAGTTTCATTGCACAATATACACTGAAATATGTGAAATGTTATTCAGTTTCATTTTATATACACTGTAGTTTCATTTCAATTCAATTACAGTTTCATTTTATAATATAAAAATAATATGTGAGGCAGTGTCAATTTAAATACACTGTAGTTTCAGTTGATAATTAATACATCAAATATGTGCGCTCCTTTAATTGTAACGGCGTGCCGTTTCTTTAAGTAAAGAAACGGAACTGTTTTTGGGCCGCATGCCACAAAGCTTTGTCGACCGCAGTCCACAGTATAATTGCTGTCGAAACATATAGTAAATATTGATTTTTAATTAATAACTTATTTGCATCCAAATATGTGAATTTCAATCACTTTGTTCTTTATCGCCTTATCGAATATTTTAGATTTAGTGATATTTACTTGCTTCCAAAATATAAATTTCTTAATTCCAACTTAAATTGTTTGAAAATTAAAAATATGATGTTGGATTTGACAAGAAAATATGATGTTTGTTGTTAGAAAACTATACATATGTCTATATAAATATGAGTAATGTATTTGATATTAGATACAAAAAAAAAAAAAAAAAAAAAAAAGATGTTTGATGCCAAATTAAAGGGGTGGGTAATTCGGTTTAGTTTATCCGATCTAATCCGATCCGATCTGAACCGAATTAGTAATAGAAAATCGAACGCTTCGAAATTCTTGTAAACGGAACGGTTCCGTACCGAACCGAACCAAAACCGAATAGTTTGGCAAAAATCGAATTTAACCGAATACCATATGATTTTTTTAATAAATAATAATAATAATAATAATAATAATAATAATAATAATAAAAGAAGTAAATCCAAGTCCCTTGATGTCTGCTTTGCCGTTCAGTTCTTATTCTCACTGGTATCTCTCTTAAATTTTTATTTGATTTCTTTATAGCTTGTTCTCTATATTGCACTTTTATTGTTTGTCGCAATTGTTTTTTACCTCACAATTATATATAACTTGAGTTATATTTACAGTATTCAGTATTTTTCCTAGTTTCATGTTTCTATAAATTTAATGTGCTTTACAGTCATTCTAATTTTGATTTCTAGTGCACTAAAATTATTTTTTAGTACTGGAATATATTTCGAGTGCACTAGCAATGATAGAGTGTGTCAACAAATTAACTATATAGTACTTGACACTTGTTCTTCTAATATCAACTATATAGATAGATGATTAATATTCATCTTGTCAATAAAAATATTTCAAGTGAACCAACTGAAGAGTCGGTTGTGCAAAAAAGATAACTGATGCTCGGTAATTAGTACTTAGTATTGTGTTTGAACTTTGGATTGCTATTTTGTTATATAATGTTTAGAGTTTGGATTTGGATTATGTGATTATGTGAATATGTATTGTTTGGTAGTATGTTCGAAAAATTAGAAAATGTTGAAATTTGGAGATCATAAACCAAACCGAATTAAATCCGAACAGAAATCGAACCGTTTCAAACCGAACTGAACTCTAATGTTAAATCGAATGGTTTAACTTTTTAAAAATCGAAACCGAAAACCCGAAACGTCCACCCCTACCAAATTATGTATAAGAGGATTGTAGATAAAAATTAAAATGTACGTGTTTTGCAGTTCAATTATACAAAAGCAGTTCAAATTAAGAAAAAGTAGCGTAAATGAGTATTAATTTGTAGTTTGTCATTACTCTTAAATAATAATAATTTTATTATTTATGTATTTTATAATTTTATAATTTTGAATAATAGCAATTTTGTGTGCATAATTGCTTTTCAACCTCCTGAGAAAAATCTGACTCAATCACTATATGTTGTTCTAATTGTTTTAACCCTTATCTTTAAACCACTCTCTCCCATGTATAAATGATAACTTTATTTTTATTCTTTTCATATTTTTTTTATTGTAAATTCTAAAAGTAGAAAAGAAGGGAATACTTCTTATAAATACAAAAAAAAAAAAAAAAAAAAAAAAAAAGTTATAGAAAGAGAGAAGAGAGCCAAACAAGTACAAGATTTGGTAGCATTAATGTTGACCAATCCAAATGTAAAACGAGGAACTACGCGGTTGACTAATAAGACACATCACATATGGCAGTGATGTATTTGGGGGGTTTAAATGCACTGAATGGATTGATCAATCTAAACAACTAACAACAACCAAAATTTAATAGGGTTAGAGGGGAGTTGAGTGTTGCTTTATTTGCTGCAATATCCCTTTCTAAGTTTAGAAATCTCATTTACATTTTCAATTTTTGTGTGCTGTACTGCTAT